CTGTACAACCTTGAAGATGCAGTTAAGCTATCATTATCCCAGATGTTGTTTCAGTCTAATTCGAGTTTTGTGGCCATAAATTTACCTTAAAGGTTAAAAATGTTTCAGCAAAGTGTCCGAAATTTTTGTCCGAAAATTGTTCGAAATGAGATAAAAAGTGCCCGAAAATTAATCGTCCGAAATTTTAACGTCCGAAATTTTTTTGCAAGTACTGTAATGTATGAAGATAGGCACAATTGTAATCCTAAGCCAGGGCATCATTTCCAATATCGACAATAATATGGTGACATTTTTATGTGTATTTTCACCCGTAGGCGACAGGGGTAAAGAGTAAAACCATGCACTAGAACGAGAACTGATAGCCCAGACAATATAATATCCCGTCAAGTCAAAACGTATTTAAGAAATGGCGGCAGTCAGGCACAGAAAATGGAAAGCTCATATTAAAGAAAATGTGCTGTATGTCCAATTTATTCCACACTTTTGCCCTTTTCATGCATATCAGAAAGCAGCTGTGCCAGCGTTCACACCCGAGATATCTTAAGACTATGTTTAATTGCAAAGCTAAACAATGATGCTTAGTCTTTATATAAATTTGGAAACGGAACACAAAACGCATGTCAAATCCGATGAGGCAAAGTGAAGATATAGAAACTAAAACATAAATTGAAAAGTAGTAAACTTTGAAAATGGTTCAGGATGAAAGGAAATGTACTGGTACTCCGTTTAATGGCCACACACTAATACTTCTTTAAAACCTTTCAAGGTAGAAACACGGTTGATATACTTTTAGGCGTTTTGTTAATGACTTGTTCAGACCGCTTACTGAAAGACCACGTTAATATATTGAGTCACCTTTTATGGTATAAATTCCACATTTACACCTTTATTTTCTTCTTGATAATCCAGTCAAGATGGCGTCGATGCATCTTAGTTCCTTCTCTGTTTTTTGATATTAGTTGCATTTTGGAATGTTTCTTTATTTGCTGTATTTCGGTTTTCCTTTTAACGATGGCTTGGTTAATTAACTTAACAAGTCAAGAACAATTTTCTTTGATAGAGCCATCTGTCGGGTTCCGAGTGCGGGGTACACCACCTCGATAATCACGTCGTAATAATGGCGTATCAGACAAAAAAGGTCACAGTACAGTTTAAACAATAAAGTATAGTATAACTTAAACAGAACATCGCTTTGAATTGAAGCCTTGTGCTCTCGGGTGACATGTCTTCTAAGACGTCACAAATGGTGCCATACCTCATATACAATGGCTCTTGCCAGTGAGCACGAGAGAAATTCAATATATTGTACAAATGCAAACCTTGCGACTGATAGCGCTACGTGCCCGCTGGCCGTAACCTCTAGGTCCACGTTACACATTTCTAATTAAGTTTGCTAGTAAAAGTATTTTCTTCCCGTATTATTCCCGTTATGGGTAACCTTTTTGATTTAGATATATATATCCTGTGCAAWATGTAATTAGCACCTCGGCCGGCCTGAGGTTAATTAAAAGTCAATAAAATTATCCATAATAAACCACTTTGTACGTAATGGATCAACGATTACCTCGAGCAGTTATGTGCCATAAATTGATTAATGTTTAGAAGTGAGGAAAGACGTTAATGATGACATTTACCGTCGGTCTCATCAAAGAATGGACAGCATCTCTTAAGTGCCATAATGCAAGGCAATTAAGTTCAACTGAGGGTAGCGCTGAGAAACGTTCATTTGCATTTAACCCGTTGGCTCCGATAAAGTGCTTTATTAAACTAAGGTCATGGGACAGCTCAAAACTATGTGAGCGAATCCTGGCTTTGCGCCTTGGAATGTCACGAAATTACAAATGGTGAAAGTTTTTCTGGATTTCGAGGGAATTTAACACCGTCCAGTATCAAGCCCTTTCGAGAATCTGTTTACCCGCATAATGTTTACGCATGTCCTGAAGCAGATAAACCATAAAACGTTTACAAGCTCAAAAGAATGGAAAATGTCAAATCTTTACACTGAAATTTACAGATTTACGGCTATGGAAAATACCTTTCCATAGCCGCGCATATCTTAGATTTTTTGTTTCATACCACAATGAAGTGATGAAGTAATGCGAAGTTTTTCGTCTCCTCGAAACGCGTCTTCAGTCATTAGTCAATGCATTATTTCAAGACATAATTTCAAAGTTAATACAATCTTTGACAATGAGTCACAAATGCAGCCATTTTTCTTGTTACCAATCAGGTTTCAAACTTAGGAGG